GGCATAATGGAGGAGCAGCAAGAATGCCATTACATGGAGGGCACTGAGTGAATGGGGATATAGTAATTGAACATTTTTTATTTTGTTGCTTGTTTTTCTCTTGAAATTTAAGAGTAAATCTATGGCCTCATATGTGCTACGCAAGTACTCTACCACTGAGCTACATCCTCCACCCCTTTAAAAAATTATTTTTAGACCCGGTCTTGCTTAATTGTCTAGGGTAGACTTGAACTTACGATCCTCCTGTTTCAGCCTCTGAAGTAGCTGGGATTATAAGCATGTGCTATCAGGCTCCACTTAAAACAGTAGTTCTTAAGAGTGGGGTGGGCTCAAAAGTATCTTTCCCACCTCTATTCTGAGTGAGATGAGCAAGCAGGTTCTGAGCAAATGAAAGTTTGATCTCACTTGACTTTTAAAAGAATCCCTTTGACTACAGAATAGAGCAGCCCTGAGCCAACTTTTTTGGTCTCTGACCTCTTAAATTATCGAAGACTCCAGAGAACTTTATGTTGGTCATGTCTATATATTTTTACCATGTTAAAAATTTAAAAATTTAAAACAATAAATGTTTACTTATTTAAAAATAATAATGAAGACACTGCATGTTAATGCAAATAACATTTTATGAAAATAACTATTTTCACAACATATCAGAGGAGTAAGAAGATGGCACTGTTTTCAGTATTTGCCAGTCTTGAATGTCTGGCATTCTGATTTCAGTATATGTGCTGCCGAAGCGAGCACGTCTGGCATTCTGTCTGTTCATTACCTCATGTCATAAACCTATGGAAAACTTCATTGGGCACTGACCAGAAAATGAATTTAAAAGGCAAATGATGTTTAATATTTTATGAAAATAATTTTGATGTTACTATTCCTCTGCAAAGGCACTCTGACAAATGGATATAGAGGGAAGTAGGTGGTAAGAGACCAAGATCAAGGCATGGAGACCAACTAGGAACCTCTTCCAGTAAACCAGGCACACCGCTGGTAGCCTGGGGAAGTAGGAGAAGCAGTGACAACTGGGACATTTCTAGATGTATTTTAAAAGTTGAGCTAATAAGTCTTGCAGATGGAATAGGTGTGGCTATGAAAGAAAGATGACAAAATGGACTCAAACTTTGAACCAGAGGAAATGCAGAGCTGGGTTTCCTGTTTAGTGAAATGTAGAAGATTGTGCAAATTACAGATTTGGGATGAAATGAAGAATTGTTTTGGATTTGTTAATTTTCAGATACCTATTAAAACATCCAGTTGGAAAGTTCAAATCAAAAGCTGGATATTTAAATCTGGAATTCAGGGAAGGGACTTTTTATTGTCTTTGTATCTTTCAGTGCTTTTTAAGGAAAGAATATATAAAAGTAAGTTACCTGACATACAGTAGCTAAAATATAGCATTAGTTCTACTCTCAAATTTGAAACTTGGTTTGGCTAAATATTGAACTCCAAGTTGGTAGTTGCTTTAATTTGGAATTAAAAAAGCAAAAAACAGAACAGGAAGAAAAAGGAAACTTTTTACCATCTCCCAGCATTCAGTTTTGTTGCTGAGAAGTCTGATGTTGATATGGTTTTCATTTCTTGGTATATGCCCTCTTGCCCTCTGTATCTCCACCTACCAGAGGCTTTTAGGATCTCTCCTTCTTACCTAGTGTTCTCATCCCCTAGTTTGGGAAAATTTTCTTATATTCTTACCTTGATAATTTCTCCTTTTACTCCTTATGAAATTTCTGCTTTTGAAATACTGGATCTGAAGTCTGTATTTCTATTTTTCTTTCCTAATTCCTTTATTGTTCTACCTGAAGATTAATTTTATCCACATTAGCCTCTAATCCTAAGCTTTTATGAAATGCTTATTTATAAACACATCATCTTCATATAATCCTATGAGACTATTAATTAAAATTTGAAGATCTTAAAATTCCTCCTCTCTACTTTCCCCCCTGCTTTTGTTTTGATTTGTTGTTGGTGGTTGGTTGTTTTCTCTTTCTTTTCTTTTTTGCTTGCCCCTTTGTTTATTTTTCTTATTTTTATCTTTTTCAGGTTAGAGGCATTCCCGCATTGCTGGTGATCTATAACTGTCTTTATAGGTCTTAGTTTGTTTTGGAACCATGTAACACAATAACTGCTAGGCCTGAGATGGTCCAGAAGTTGGAAAGTCCATTGTTAAGTCTGGGGCACCTGGCAAGATCTTGTTCCATCATCACAAGGTAGAAGGAATCCGGGTGGCGGATAAGCTGAGAGAAGGAGAGGAGGGAGAGAGGGAAAGAGAGTGTCAGAGTACACTCAAAAGGCGGTAATCTTGCTCCTGAGATAATGACATACATTTATTCATGAGATGAAAACTTCAGGACCTAACAGCTCTTAAAAGTTCTACCTTGTAGTTGTTGTTCTGGTGGTGGTAGTAAGGTACTAGGGATTGAACCCAGGGTCTATGCCCTGGACTGCATCCTCAGCACCTTTATATTTTTTATTTTGAGACAAAGTCTCACTGCATTGTCCAGGCTGTGCTGAAACTTATAATCCTCCTGCTTTGGCTACCTCTTGATACTGTTTTAATGACAGTCTTTTTTCCACATGAGTTCTAGAAGAGACACTTAAAACATAGCATCATGTTGAAGCATAGAAAAGATGTTTTACGGTGGGCTGATCAGATAATAAGCAACCTTTTTGTTATATAACTTCCACTTTGATGTCATTGGTACAGGAATGTGATAGCAAAGTGATCTTTATTTTCATGCAACCCAAAGAGAGTGAGTGTGTGTGTGTGTGTGTGTGTGTGTGTGTGTGCTCGTGCACACAATTGTGTGTGTGTGCTCGTGCACACAATTGTGTGTGTATGTCAATGTATCGATTGGGCATTTGTGTACATGGCTCTCTTTTGTAAATGTAAAAGCACCAGGACAGTAGGACTTGTCTAATATATAATAGTCAGATGTGGAATTGGATCTAAACCTTGGACTTTCTGAGAAGTGTTTGTTCTTCAGCCAGTGCTCTTAGTGCTCTCATCGGTACATTCCTCAAGATAGAAGAGATTTTCTGTATGTTGTAGGGATCTGAGAGTAGAGCTGCAAGCATCTTGCTTGAAGGATCAATTTCATTTAATATCTTATATTTTAACTTTTAAAAGTATGTGATTTTACATTTGATTTTGGATGCCTGTTGGTTTCAATAGAACATTTGGTGTTTGTTTGTTTGTTTGTTTGTTGAGCCAGGGTCTTGTTACCATAGTTCAGGCTGGCCATAGCCGTGCATCACCACACCTGGTTCAGTGGGACATTTGTTTTATTTATTTGTTTTTTTTTTTTTTTTTATTTTTTTGGTACCAGGGATTGAACTGGGATCCTTGCACTTGCAAGGCAGGCCATGGAATCACTGTGCTAAATCCCTGCCACCCACTTTTTTTTTTTGACATTTGTTTTAATCTCAGGTCTTTTGAGTAAACTTAGTGTGCCTGGAAAGTGTGCCCTGTGGATTGGGGTCTTCCTCCTATCCCCTCCTCCACTTGAAGGCATTCACCTGACCCAGTGGGAAAAGCTCTGCCCATTGAAGAGTTAGACTGAAGAGTTAGATTGTGTATGTATGCACTGTCAGAACATCTCCTCTCCACACACATCTACACAGTGGTAACTTAAAAAATAAAGGATATATCTTGCATAATAGTCTAGACAGAATCATAACAGTGCTGAGGATGTGGCTTCCTTACATATTGATGTTCCACCATTGCTAACATGTGCCCCTAGCTTGTGTAAGTGAGGCTGATTAATCCTAAAACTACATCCTGTCCAAGGAGTAGGGAGAAGGGCATGTTGAGGGCAAATTCCTTTCCTTTAAAGTCACAACTTGGGGCTGAATCCATCTTTTCTGTTTATATTCAACTGGTTAGGACCAGGCACACAGCCTCTCCTACCTGCAAGGGGCTGGAACATGTGCTAATCTATTATCCTGTAAAAGGGAAAGGGAGGCTAATACTGGGAGCCCACAGGCTGCCTTCCCATGTGATATTGATGTAACAAAGAGCATGTGAACACCTGGCAATAAAGATTCAGCTGAGGGTCCCTCCAGTGACTCCTCCTGGAGATCAGATGAGTCATCTTCCAGATTGCAGCTGCTTTCCTTGGGCACAGCTGCTGATACCATGTAGGCCCTAAAAAGGCAGCTGTGTTTTGTGTGCAGTGGGGTTTGAATGTCATACCTGCAAGTCTATAAGTACCTGTAAGGAACTCTTCTTGTTCTTAAGGAACAGTCCAGTTGATTTTATCATTATTAGTATAGGCTGTTGTGGCTTCCTTAAAACTTTGGATCCTGCTCCACAGATGCTAGATTCTGAGCAGGCTCCCAAGAGTTGTACAGTGTGTAGAATCTCAGAGAATCGCACATTTGTGACCTCTCCATTGGGACAGATTGACTCTTCATGGAGTTTTGACAGGCACACATAGAGTTTGAGAAGGTTGATAAAGACACTTGACCTATCTTAAGTGGAAAAATCACCAAATATTTTGATGTGGCCATCACAGTTTTGGGGTTCATATAAGCACTTTCTTTTTTTTTAAACCAGGCATTGAACTCAGGACCTTGAGCTTGCAAGGCAGGCAGTGGAACCACTGAACTAAATCCCTGGCCCCTTATAAGCACTTTCTATCAGCAGCAGGTATAGGGCACACACAGTAAAATGGATTTTTCAGAATACAGAAAATTCCCAAAAGAAAAGCCTAGCTAATATTTTCTTTAAAAAATAATGGGATTGACAATTTTTGTATTTATTGCCAGGTACTTTTTAAAGTGTGCATCATTTAAAGGGGTTAAAAACGTTCCTAAGGTCACCAGCCATCTGGTAGCCATAGAGCTAGGTTGCAAACCTCAGTCTTTCTGGCTATAAAATTTACATAGTGATTACTGCATTATATTATACAAAATGGTGAGTAGAGATAGATGACTTACATTTTTTTTTATTTTTTTAGATTAATGTGGCTGCTTATGACTAAACTTAGAGTTCTGGGAATGCAGATATTCACTGAAGTAACATACATATAAGGTAATAACAGGAGTATTTTTACTAGTTTTCTGTTGGCATTTATTGTTTTGGACGAAGACCAAAAATCACCCTATTTGTATACCTGTAGTCAATTAATAGGGATGAGAGTTTGCAAAAATTACCTTTGAGTTTTGTATTAAAATGCTATTAAGGCCGGGGATTTGGCTCAGTGGCTCTGCCACCTGCCTTGCAAGTACAAGGGCCTGAGTTGAGTTTGATCCCATCCCTGGTACAAAACAAAACAAACAAACAAACAAAAAACAATAAAATGCTATTAATGCAGTTTAGTGTCCTAAGTAGAAGCATGTCATATCTTTATGAATGGCCTGCCCAACTGTGGTTGTGGGCTTAGTAAGTAGTAGCCATTGTGGTTTAGAAGATATGTAGTACGATTGCAGTTTGTTTCTGCAAAATGTTTGATGGACTTTTCTTTAACTGAAGGGCAAAAAGATTTTAAACCAAAATTAGGGCTATGGGAAAAAGACTATATCGTGTTGGAATATTTCATAATTTTTTTTAGATGAGGTATTGAGGTATGTTATTAATGTCAAGCAGCACATGTATTTTTAGAGAATCTTGGGAATGTATGTTTATAACTAAGAATATATTTGCATTTACTCAGCTAGCGTGAGTTTTTTTTTTTTTTTTTTTTTAATTGAAAGGTACTATAGTTTCAAAAGGCCCCTCTGGGCCAAATCTAAATAAGAGCATAATAGAACCCTTATATGAGGAAACCAAAAATCTTGAAAACAGTGGTTTTCCTTGATATTCCATGGCCACACTACTGTTTACCATTTCTGGTAATGGAGTTGCTTAAATCTCAGTATTAGTTTGCTTAGGATTTTATGTTTCTGCCTGCCTTCTTCCTGTTACCATATTCACTGAATCAAAATTAGTTGTGTGACATCACAAGCAGCATTAAGTATAGCTTTTGAAAACACTCTGACTCCATAGTTAATCTGTTTGAATGTGTTTGCTTGGAAACCTGGAATGAAGCCTGTTTTTCAGTATATTGGCTTTTATAAGATAATCTGAAAAAGATGAAAAATTCATAACCCCATTAATAAGGGTTTCCAGTAATGTTTCTGCATATCTCAACATCTCATATGCTAAGCTATTTCATTTAGTGGAGATGGAGAAGGTGGCAGGATCACTGTGCTTTAAAAACATACATCTGTGTCCTCATTTTTAGGAAGATTATACTTAAGCATCATACTGTTTTTATATTAGGATTACCTATGAACAAAATTAAGGAAAACCTCATCTTTTTTCAAAACTAAGCAGTTGATATAAAAATGCAATGTTATATCATTATTTTTCATACCATATGATAAAGTATAAAATATTTATTGAAAACATGTATACACAGCATGCTGAAATGGGCCCTTTTCATCATAAAAATGAATTACTTGTTCTCTCATTTAGCTATTGGATAAAGATAGAGTTTACACCTTAATTCTATAAAGTTATTAAGTGCCTAAGAGGCAGTAGAATTAAAACATTTAAAGCTAAAGTTAGGAGCTTTTGCCAAAGGAATAAATAAATTTATTTAAAAGGAAGCACCTCTGAGTTTATATTATACTCTAAATATAATGCTCATTTAAAAGTATGTGCGTCTGATTTTACAATGTAAGTTGATAAGAAATTTTAGGTAGCATCATTCAGAGTTTTTAAGAAACCCTCTGTAAAACAGAACACCCTTTATTCTTAAGTTAATTCTAATTAAGTTAAATCAGGATGGAATTCAGTTCATTGTTCAGTTCTGTTGTTTCTGCTTTCTATGGAATGTTGGGTCAGTGACTTAAAATAATGGGCTCTTGGGCTGGGGATTTAGTTCAGTGGTGCCACCACCTGCCTCACAAGCACAAGGTCCTGAGTTCGATCCTTGGTACCAAAAAATTATTTTTAAATTAAAAAATAAATGAATAAAAATAAAATAATGGGCTCTAACAACAGATTACCTAGGTCACATTCAGGCCCTTCTACTTACTGCTGTGTAACCTTCGGCAGGATATGTCCAAAGCCTCAAATTCTTCCACAAACATGGGGCTATAGTAGTTTAAGCCCTGGATATTTGGGAGTTAAATAATATAATACACATGAAGTCCCTGCCACATGTTAGGTACACTGTAACCTTAGCTCATGTTGTGGGGTTTTCCTTTACACAGAACAGGAATTTTGTAAAGTAAGATCAGTACTCACTGTTACTTTAAACTACTTATCAAATAAACATGGATCCCATCAGAAACCACTCTTCTAATATTTACAGCATCCTCTACTTACAGAAAATGTTTCAGAGGAGTGATTCATGGCTATATGTGTAGAGCTTTGTGTGATGTAAAACCATTATAGCCAACAAGTAGGTCAGGGATGGTGAGTGCCCAAATGAGCAACCCAGTCACTGCCCTCACAGAGTTTGCAGTGTGGGATGGGAAATAGATGAGGCTATAAGTAACCCAAGGCAGTAATGGAGTGAACACAACAGGTAGGGAAGTGTTGATCTTGGACTGTATACGAAAATACTCAGCTGTGGACTTCCAAATGGGACATTATGATTATGGCCTAAGTCCCTACCAGATATTATCCAGGCATTGTGCTCTTCCCGGGGAGCATGGGCCTCTTGGTCCTGATATGCTCTGGGAAGAAGTGGTATGCAGGTGACTATTACTAAAAATCTGATGTTGAAATATAGGGGCTGGAGGTGTAGCTCAGTGTTAGCGTGTTTTAGTATGTACACTGCCCTTGATTCCACCTCCAGCCCCATGAATGAATGAATGAATGAATGATAAATTACTGAGATCATTCTAAATAAGCAGACTTTACCTTTGGTAGGGCCAGATAAAGCTCTGGTTTTTCCTTAAGACATCTTCTGGTGCATAGCTTTAGTTTGTATTCACTAGATGACAAAACTGATGTTTCTAGAATAGGTTTTAACTTCAGCTGCATGATGGAATCACCCAGGACGTTTAAATAAAAACATGTTATGTCTGGGCCCCACCCCAGGGACTCTGATTTTACTGAACCCAGGCATCCATAATTTTTAAACTTTCCAGGTTATTCCAGTGTGCAGCTAAGGTTGGGAGCTATGCTCCTCTGCCTTCCCTGGATTTTATGCCAATCCCCCAGGTGTTCTATAATAAATTACGGGAACCAAGCTCAGCCCACCTTCTGTCAACAGGCTTTCCAGTCAGCAGTTTCTAATGGAAACCATTGTGTGTTTTCTCTTTAGAAACATACAGCACTTTCTGTGTTCTAGTCAGTAATGCTGGCTCCTGACGAATATTTAAGCCCCCACTGGCATAGTAGGGTGCTTTCTCATTGAGTGCCCTGAAAGGCTCCTCATCCAAGCTTCATTTACTGTCCTGTTTTTCATGTCTCCATGGGATGACCCCACAGATTTTGTTCTAGAAACTTTCAAGTCACTTAACAACAGGTTTTTCCTACATCTCTCTTGCGGTACAGTTGAAACCTGCTGTTAGGTATCCAGTTGAGGCACGCTGTGCTTAGTGCTTCAATCTATCCTTGTACTTCTAGGCTCTTGACTCGTTTGTTAGCCCTATGTGTTCCTTTGTTTATCTCTGTTTACTTAATATTTCTCCACAGGTTCTGTTTTCACTACTTTAATTTTTCCATTCAACACGTATCTCTTGTGTGACAGATAGGAGCCGGGCAATCTCATAAACAGTAAGGCCAAAACAATTTCCAAATCAGGCAAAAAATGTCTACCTATGTGGGACTTAACATTCCAGTGAGAAACAGAAAGTTACAAGTAAGTAAGTAAACTGTGTGGTATGTTCAAAAGTGTGTAGCTATGTGGGGGCTGGGGATTTAGTTCAGTGGCACTGCACCTGCCTTGTAAGTGCAAGGTCCTGAGTTCCATCCCTGGTATGGGGGCGGGGGAGACTTTTTTAAAAAGTGTGTAGCTATAGAAAAGAATAGGGTAAGGTAGGAGGAGTGGGAGTGAGGGCCGCAGTTTTAATAGTAAATTGGCTTTGCATTGTTATCCAAGGAGAATTGTTAATTGCTTCAACCAGAGTAATGGTGGCATAGATGGTTTAAAAAAAAAAAAGTAGTTGAAATCTGGATAAGTTTCAGCAAGGCCAGAAGAAGACAAGGGTTGGAGCCACAGAGATACTAGGAACAGTAGAATTCTAGGCAAAAGCGCTGCAAGTGCACCATCCCCAAGGCTGTAGTGAATTTGTGGTGTCCTAAAAACTACTAAAAGGACCTGTTGGCTAGAGCAAAGAGAAATAGCAGGAGTGGCCAAAATAGGGAGGGGTGGAAATGAGATTGCAGACAGTCTTGGAGGAGTTTCATAAATGACCTGAACAATCCTAGCTGTAGCATTAGGTTAACTTGTGGCTCTTGTACTACATATTTAGCATTTTTAATTAGTACATAATGATTGCATTTATCATGGAGAGTTAATATGTATGCATAACACATCTTAATTCTTTCATCATCTCCTTCCCCTCCCACCCCTCTCTGCTCTTTCCAACTCTTAATCCCCTTCCCATTTGCCAAAGCTGTTTCCTTTTTTTTTTTTCCTTGATACCAGGGATCGAACTCGGGTCCTTGTGCTTGTGAGGCAGGCAGCGGAACTACTACGCTAAATCCCTGGCCCTCTATTTCCACTTTTTTGTGTTTTTTTTCATCCTCTTTCCCTCCCCTCACCATCTTTTGTTCTCCTGCCTATTGAAAAAGATCTCCCTACTATCTGTTATCTACCTTTTCTTTTGTTCAACATTACTGCTGGTTTAAACCCATCATAAATTCCTGCCATCGCCACACTTCCCCTTTTGCTGTGCTTGTTCATTACTGGCCATTTGCTAACCTGATCTCTCAGTGATCAGTGTTGCTTGTCAAACACACTTCCCTTCTTGGAGTTTTTATTCCATCATAGGTCCCTGGAAGGTGACGGAGGCAAGCAATAAAGTGTTCAGATACAGGTGGTAATATGGTTTTAAAAGCCCATGGTTCAAAATAAATCAGGCCGAGAA